GGACTTAACACAAGCTAGCTGCTATTAATGGAAAGCACTTAGTTCTCTGATTACTAATATTTGTGTATTAATAAACAAATAGTGTCTCAAGTTAAAATACTTAGTGAATATTAAGTTCTTTTAAAAACTAGGGTCGATAATGACTTATTATTTTGTTAAAAGAACAAGTAAAACAGACTTACTGATACAAATTAAGAAATCATAATATTAAAAAAAATACAAAACTTCAATTTATTTTGAATGTATTAAGACTTGTTTATTTGACATAAAGCAGATTCATGTGCTTTGAAAAATATTAAAATTTAATGGATTTATGCACACAAACACAAAATATGCCATTAATAAATGTTTAATATTTTTTGTAATGTTTACTAAAAGAAACCTAACTTAATGTTATCCTTAAATTTGATGATGAGAAACCCACTTTTTGGAAAATAAAAACCTGTAGACAGCTTGATTGGATGACAAAGAAAACTTTATTATAAATGTACGACATTTCAACAAGATTATGTCATCCTCCGGATGACCTGAGGATGGCAATTTTGTCAAAACTTCATATATTTATAATAAAGTTTTCTTCATTACACAGTAAAGCCATCTCCAAACTTTTAATTTTATTCTGTGCTAAATTAATAAAGTTATTTGTTTTTATGCTTTCCTAGTACCCATAGTAGATTTTGTGTTGTGTTTCTGAAAATGTGAATGTTTCAACCACTCAACTGCTGAATAACTACTAATATTTGTCCAAACCACCAAGCTGCTGAATAAGTACTAACATTCATCCCAACTGAATGTCTGGCAAGCAACTGAACATGGTTGATACCAAATGTTTATTGAATATCTGTACATATAATGGATTTTTCTTTCTGAAATAATGCTACCATTACTCTATCACATGAAAAAACTCATTATTTTAAATTGTTTTTACATTTTAGAACAAACATTAATAAAAAAAAATAATAAATCTATTTTATGAATATTCAATTAAAAATATTTTGTGTGTACTCAATTAAAAACGTTTTGTTCTGTTACATTTTACTGGGAATAAAAGGAAATGACAGGTTTTCTTTGTCCACAAAAACTGAGTGGAGCACATGTTTCTAATATCAGGACTTAATGTTTAGAATACATTAATTTTCTGATTTTTCCATACAGATTGAGGATGGAGTCGAGATTAAAGTATTGTTGTTGATACTGTTTTATGAATTTGAACTTACAACAACTTTACATCATAACTATTCAAAGCAAGGGTTACAAAAGTTAAAATAATAAACCTCTAATGAAACCACATATTAATTCAGAAATTTTGCTGGATCAAAGTCAAAGTATCTTTAAACACTTAGTTTGCAACCTTTTTCTGTGCTTCTAAGTTCAACTAAGAACACACACAAACAAATGTGAGAAATAAAAAGTAGGCCACAATATACCCCTGATTGATTAATTTAACTGAATTTATGCAATGGCAACAATTGTAGAAATCTAAATCAAATCGTCAAAATCACCCAGAATCTGCCAAATACTTTGAAATAGTACCACTCTCACACCCTCAATCGGTAGATGCTTTTCAATTTCACACTGAATCAAACCTTTACGAACATTGTCTCACAAAAGATGAAATACAATTTACATTTTATTTTTAGTTTTACAACTCGCAAACGACTCTGCAGCTGGTATTTTGTTTTTACACTATTAGTATTACTTTAACTAATAACTATATGAACTTGTAACTTTTAAGTTGTATGACAAGGCATATATACGATAAAAATTAAAAGTTAAAACTGCATAAAACATGTGATCAAACGGCTAATTTGCTTAAACTCTAGCTTAATATATTATAGCGTATAGGATAAAGCATATTATTAAATGTTAAAAATGATAACCGGTCCGTTACTGTTGTTATTAGCAGTTCAGTGTTAGAACACTGATCGCAGAGCAATCTCACAAATTTGATTAAAAATAAAATGTAAATTGTAGTTGTTCTAAAAGTAAAACTAAAGTAAAAAAGTCGAGACTTAGAGTTAGAACTTACAAGTTACACTGATTATCTTAAACATAACAAAAAACCTACCTTATATAACATTAACACTTCAAATGTACAGTATGAGAGAAATAACCACTATATAACAACCTCCCGAACACTGATTGCATAAGAAGATTTCCCCACCATAAAATCAAAGAGATTACAAGTACAATTTTTTCGTAATATTCTTAGTAGTAATCATTTCCTTCTTCAGCTCTACTTCTACAACACTGCCCTCTTCATTTTGAAAATAACGTTTATACTTTCCCTTGTCTCTTTGTATTCGTTTTGACAAATTTACTCAATTTCGCTTGATGAGATTATTTTTTTTACCCCCGTTTTTTAAAGTCTGTAAATATTAAAGTACTTTAACTAACACAGTAAACAGTAGAAAAATATTAACTTACGTTTTAGAGGAAACAGTAACGCGTTTTTAAAAAATACACATTTATATCGCTGCATAAAGTTTCTAGAATACTGATATTAACTGATAATCAAAGTAATCTGCAATTGTTTGACTTGGTTAATTTGCGGAAAATAATTATTTTTCAATATTATTACTAGAAATAATGTTATAGAAAACATACATAGGTGAAGCAGGGGATAATAAAAACAAAAACTTCATTAGACGTTAAGTATAGGGGACAGGGTCCGGAAATTAAATTTTTACTCATTTTAGGAGATAAGTATTGTTACGACAGCGAGGGTCTCGTGACTCTAGTAAACGTCATATTCTCGAAGGTTCGTGAAGTCTCGAGAGGCTACTAGATATGCGGTAGTCTTGTATATATAAGCCGCCAAGAACTGACGGTAAGAGGGTAATTGAACTGCGGACAGAGAGAGACATATTGTTGAGTCGAGCACGTGAGGCGTTCGTTATGAATTATAGCGTTTGTTATAACGTGACTGTGAAAATTAAGTGTATTGCAAAGTTGTATTCAGAATGAATAAACCAGTTTTATTTAAGAAAGGACTTGTATCGCTAATGTTTCTTCGGAAAGAATTTTTACGGAAAATTAGCTAACGACCAGAGACGTAAGAAATTGGTGTCAGAGAGTGGGACAAAAAAAAAATGGAAACGAGAAGCGGCAAATCAAACTACAGCTTAGCAGACTTGGTGGCAGCAATACAAGAGCGGCAAAAGAAACAAGAAGAACGAGAAAATAAACAAGAAAAGAAACAAGAAGAACGAGAAGATAAACAAGAAAAGAGATTAAAACAGTTGTTGGAGAAAAAAAAAGAAACAAGAAGAGAAATTACAGCAGTTGTTGGAGGAAAAAGAAAAGAAACAAGAAGAGAGACTACAGCAGTGGCAACTGGAACAAGAAAGGAAACAGGAAGAAAGTCAGCAGAAACTACAGGAAAGTCAACAACAGTGGCAAGAAGTACAAATGGAAAACATTAGTAAATTTAAAAGCGAATTAGATACATTAAAGGATGATCTATTGTCTTTTACACAAGGAGGATACATTAACCATCGACTTAATCAGCCCCGGACAATGACAAGCCCCTTCCAGACCCCGCAGCTAAATCCTAATGCAACCTTCAGTCCTGTTAGAAGTCACATCCCAGATATGAATGTCAGTAATAGTGGTGATCCAGTACGAAGGAAGCCACAAGAATTCGATGGGAAGGCACCATGGGAAGCATATAGAGCACAATTTG